ACGCAAACACACGTGACTGGACGTTTAAATGTTGGTAATAGATAAGTGAAATGCTTTATCCAGGACGGCCTTTAATGAATCTGGTATATACGCAACATGTGCCTTCACATGACCGTTGAGTGGTAACAGTTGTTGTTGATGTAAATATGTGGTCGGAAAGTTCTTGACATCATCAGATTTACAAAAATTATAAAGTGTCTAGATAAATAAATCTTTTGACTGTAATCATTGTTAACTTTTCTTATCTGATGAATTACGGCGGAAATATTTAACATTTTATTTCCTGATCAGGATTTCCCCACTCAGGACCGTGTATGTTATAAGATGTTTGTATACAGTGTTTCGTCGTTCATGTTACCTATTTTCTCGTTAAAAAATAATGATGACACATCTTTTGACCGTAATCATTGTTAACTTTACTGATGTGATGAATTACAACGGAAATATTTAACATTTGATTTCCTGATAAGGAGTTTCCCCCTCAGAACCGTGTTTGTTATAAGATGTATATATATATAGTTTTTCGTCGTTCATGTCATCTTTTTTGTGTTTAAAAATCAATAGGACACATTTTTTGACTGTATTCATTGTTAAGTTTTCTTATCTGATGATTTATGACGGAACTATTTGATGAATTACACATAACTATTTAGCATTTGATTTCCTGATCAGGATTTTCTCGCCCAGGACGTGTATGTTATAAGATGTATATATATAGTATTGCATCGTTCATGTTATCTATTTTCATTAAAAAATCATAAGGACACATCTGTTGACCGTGTTCATTGCTAACTTTACTGATGTGATGATTTACAACGGAAATATTTAACGTTTGATTTCCTTATCAGGATGTCCCCGCTCAGGACCGTGTATGTTATAAAATGTATATATATATAGAATTTCGTCGTTCATGTTACCTATTTTGCAACTGAAAATCATAAGGACACATTTTTTGACTATATTTATTATTATCTTTACTTATCTGATGAAGTACAACGGAAAATATTTAACATTTGATCAGGATGCCCCCGCTCAGAACCGCGTATGTTATAAGATGCTTGTTACCTATTTTGCATTTAAAAATCATGAAGACAAATCGTTTGACCGTATTGATTACTAAATTTACTGAATAACATCAGATATATTTACCATTATATTTCCTGATCAGGATGTCCCCGTTCAGGACCGTGTATAATATTAGATGTAAATATATGAAGTGTAACATCGTTCATGTTACCTATTTTCATTAAAAAATTATAAGGTCACATCTTTTGACCTTGTTCATTACTTACTTTACTAATGTGATTAATAACAACGGTTATATTACCATTATATTTCCTGATCAGGATGTCCCCGTTCAGGACCGTGAATGATATTAGGTATCTTTTTCATGTTTTTCATCACTGTAATACTCTTCAGTGGATTTACCATTTGGAAATCATTATGACACCTCCCTTGTTCATTCACATTCATTAGTGTGTGTATTGGATAAAAATGACCTACCGGAACGGAATAATTTCCATTTGATTTCCTGATTAGGATGTCCCCAATCAGGACCGTATACATATATATAAGCTTACAGTTATGGTTATTGGCTATACGGAACAATCATTGATATATATATATAAGCTTACAGTCATGGTTATTGGCTATACGGAACAATCATTGNAACAATCATTGATATATATAAGTTTACAGCTATGGTTATTGGCTATACGGAATAATCATTGATATATAAGCTTACAGTTATGGGTATTGGCTATACGGAATAATCATTGATATATATAAGCTTACAGCTATGGTTATTGGCTATACGAAATTATCATTGATATATATAAGTTACAGCTATGGTTATTGGCTATACGGAATAATCATTGATATATAGAAGCTTACAGCTATGGTTATTGGCTATACGGAATAATCATTGATATATAAGCTTACAGTTATGGTTATTGGCTATACGGAATAATCATTGATATAACTTTCATTCCTGTTTTTTTTCTTCAAATATTATTGCCCCTTTTCTGACCAAATATAATTATTGAGGTTACACAGAAATTTCAAATGATTAACATTCCTGCTTTCCTCGATCTCGATTCTTAATATAATCTAATATAAGTGTTATTTTTGGGTTAATGTTATGGTAGTTTGACAGGACAATTTACATTGCTGTCGGTATTTCATAAGTTATAAAACGATTGATTTGTTTTTCAAGATTGTAATGTCACGGCGGCTTTTCAAAGAAAACGGTATAAGGTGTATAGTAATGTATACAAACATGAAATAATTTGGATTCATTGTAGTCTACTCTGATCCAACATCATATATGTACATGTTTTAACCAGTTTATTTCACTTTGACAGATAGGCCTATATGAAAAATTCTTTGGAGAAGGAAAAACAACTCGGTATTTTAATTTTGCGCGTATTTGTATCCTCTGAACTGTGTGTACTACTGAAACAATTTGGTCAGATCTACATGACCGAAGGGAGGTAGATGCTACCTTCTGACCCTACAGTATGAGTTCTGCTACACTTTTTGTATTAAAAACAATTATCATAATCTTTTTTATTGATAATTTGGTGCTTATACTTAACCATACTAAACATTTATCATATATTGATGCAATTCATTACAGATTTTTGATAAAACAAGTGTAGGAACACGCTATAATATGCAACGGTCCTGGTCAGCGATGGTCCCCGTCAGCCCCGGTTCTAGTGAGCGCAGCTCAGCTGTTTGATACTGTTGGACATATCGTCACGTTCTTTTGCTATTGTTTACCCGGTGTTAATGTAATTAACACTAAGGTATTGAAATGTCCGATACGAAATACGGAAATGATGACACGAAAATACACCAAGAAAAACACGTGTATTACATAGGGTGGGAAGTCGTTAATAAATGATTGGATGTGTTATCAATCAGAGTCGACAATTTATGTAACACCCAGTTTGTTAACTATTTGAGGATAAGGTAGTGTAAAACACTACTATAGAGTCAAAGTATCTGTTTTGAAATAGAATTGTGCCCGAGGCTGTCAGTTTCTGACAAAGGAACAGCCATAGTATCTTACCTGTAAGCATGTACTGATTTACCTGTGAATCTACTGGACAGACAATGGGCTGGATTAATTGACATGATTAATGTTCTTCACACAAGGTGTTCAAGATTGGGTACAGCCCAACAGTATCCCATGTCACCTCAGGTGAATGGTCAGTGTGTGGTCATTAAACATATATTCTCAGATAGATATCATATTGATAAGACAAATATGTGTCAGCGGTTGGTTACATTGCCCTAGCAACCATCTTTAAATCTATGACTGAAGTAAAGTTGTAACTGCATGATTAAAACTTTACAACTGAATTCATGTGATTGCTTATTAATAAATGTATCAACTTATTTCAACATGTATGTACCTGTATAAAACTTAATCTACATATGTTTACGCCCTTTAACTATGAATGTTGTCATCATTCTAACAACTGGTAATTCATTAATGTAACACCAGGCCAGCTGTATACCTGCTACATTGTTGTGGGGAACACAGTAGACCCAGGTAGGGGTTGGCGGTAGGGGGGGTGGATTTTCTTATTAAAAAATCAGCATGTACATGTACGTGACGTGTATACATATGTAACAAAGCAATATAAATCAGACTGACTTATGGATTGTTTTGTCTTCATTTTCCTAACAGAAGACAACGTTGGATTAACGGGCTTTAATTAATTCCACATCGATAGCTTGAGCTGTTACTTGTGTTTATACAGTGCAATGTAATGATATAAGATGTATCTGGAATGTTTTGGTTTTTTTTGTATAAAACTTGTAATACATATGTTTTAGTGCTGTATATGAGACGGAACTAATGAAGTCATTGACCTTTTTAATAAAACAAAGAAATTACTCTATTGATGTCCTGAAAGTGAGAAACCTTTCATAAAAAAAGTATTTATCCATATCACATAACAGTTACTGATCCCCCATCCTGACACTACAATATTGATATTAAATGTGATGGGAATTAAACTATGATCAGGTTATCTTTTTAACTATTTTCCTAATAATACAACTATTTATATATTTTCTGTAATCAACATATAATATATAGCGTACAGTTTTTCTTTGTACAAGTGTATGTCCAGTTGAAATATGATTAATCAGAGATTATTTTTTTATAGATATAGTGAAATTCTCAATAAAATGTTTATGAAATCATGAGTGAGCTAGTTTATTATAAACAATTATTGAAATTTGTATTACAGTCTTTTAAACTTTAGTTAACACTAGTGCACTGGGGTTCACATCGTTATGCACTGGAGCTAACATCATCGTGCAATGGAGTAAACACTGAAGTGAACTAGAGTGCACTTCAATGTTTGTCTAGTGCACTTCCTTGTTCACTACATGTGCACTACGAAGTGCACTAGTTACCAAATTAAGTTTGCTCCCAACTGTAGCTTTGAACGGAACATAGGAATGCAACGCCTAGAGTAACGTAACAATACGTATTGAACACCAATTTAAGTGTGCAGATCCCATGTGTGTTGTCAGAGTTACCGCTCATGAATGACACTTTTGAAAGAGATGGTTAATGGATATTTTCCCTCAACTCAATATTAAGATTACCTGTTCCTGTACTAAATGGAGATTTAAATCATATATCAAAACAATAAGAAACACCTGCAGTAAGGTTATCAAGTAACTGATTACACTATAAACTGTTAATCTATTCGTTCATAGATTTCAACAAGATATTTAAAATATACCTTTATGGATTACGAAACAGCTATACATAGCAGTCGACAGCTTCAATTGATAGCTACACTGTCTTTCGTATTTATTTGACACAGCTATTGTCACGACAAGCATCCTTCAAGTTTCAGCTTGAAAAAACAGCGAACATTTATGAAACTACAATATACAAAATGTACCATACCTTAGCCTTTTGATGGAAACCAATTCTGACGAAAACTTTCAGAAGGACACCATGAAAGAGTCAATCCTTAGGATGTTGTGTGCTTCATAGCTGACAGGTACGATCTGGTTTTCGATGATAGATATTTACCGCGCCTGAAAAATGATGCAAGAAAACAATATTTATAGTGCAAACAAAAAGCTGAGATATACTGTATAATGATCAATTTGTACATGTAAGTATAATGGTGTAGGGTACATCTAAAAAAATAGAGATATAGTGTGATGTACACTTAGACATGTACACGGTACATTTGTACCGATACAATTCGGCCTTTGTCATCGGTTTTAGTACTCACAAGTAGTATTGTGAAACAATTAAATAAGAACAATGTGATTTTCCTACAAATATAACAGTTTATTAAGAACGAATTGTTATTTAAAAGCAGAAAAATGAGGCAGTTTTCTGAGTATCTCAATATATGCTATTTCAACCGTTGTAAACCACGTCAGGAAGATATCTTTAAGACCGAGGCAAATGTTGATTAAGGACTTTTTCCTTTTTATCAAAATGTATCTTAGTTTGTGCAGCAGACTGGTTTCATGACTACGGGCCCTGGTATGGTATCTTTCTCAACTATGAGGATAGAAAAATTAGCATAATGTGATAAAAGACAAGAATATTATGTTTTGTGCGGACTGTACATACATGCTATTTGATCTTTATATCACCATATATAAAGTCATTATGTGTTTTACAGGTTTTTATAATACGTCATAAATGCCTTAATAATATAAACACGTTTCTATTAATAGAACTTGTTTATTGTGTCACCCGCTATTACACTATTTGTGTCATGTCATTGTTTACTCACGTGTTTGGTTCAATACATCCAATGATGTTGTTTATTATTCTATTTCTCACCTAAATATACTATGATAGTTGTGTCCTGACTTACTTCACCTCCTGCTTCAATATTATTGCTGACACAAGGAGTATCAGTCGCAACCAGGAAGTTTATCTTATAGAAATACCTAAATCAAGAGACAACGATGTAAATGCATTGAGAACTGGAATTTAAGTTGCATTTATGAAAATAACATAAAACATTGCTTTGTAGAGTATATAATCCCATTAATAATTAATAATGTATTTATTACCTCACAGTGTTAAATAGTGGGCTGGGTTATAACACAGCTAAATAAACACACTATCACTTGTCAACAATACTGATAACGAAAGTGGTTTTGTAGTATTGGTTTAAAGAACATGAAAAACAGTTATCATTTTAGATTATGCATGTATCAAGTGTCAAGCAACAGAAAATACTAAACAAAAATGGCGAGTTACCCTGGCTTTTCAGTAGTTGAATTTTCCTTCCTTCTTGAACACCGTTCAGGAGGACGCCATTGTAGAGTCACTGTCTAGGACATGGTGTGCGTCACAGCTGACAAGTCGGTGTACCCTGTACCCTGTAACACTATATATATAGTAGCTAACGCGTCCGATATTGATTTAAATCACATACAAATATAACGTGTTTTTCAGTGTAGGCTATCTGTGTACGTATAATAGCTGTATGGCTAGACTGTTGTGTACTCTTGTATAGGATACATAATGTACGTACAATAACGTACATAACGTATAGAATATGGCGTGTTGATCTGTATACGATTTCTGTGTATGTATAATAACATACGGGTATAAAGCTTATATACAGTTTCATATTATATCTGTGTTTGTATAATGACGTACCTTATTCAATGTAAACTATGATTCCTCAAAATGTAAAATGACCTAATGGTACAGTACGGTATATACTTTGAGCGGTTCTTATGAGTGTTATATGGCGTACGGGAACAAAGTGGTGTACACTTTGTATCATTCTTGTTAATGTAAAATAACGTATTAGTACAGTGCGGTGTTCACAACGTATATCTCTTGAGAATGTAAAGTGACCTAAGGGTACAATGTGGTGTACTCTTTGTATTTTTCCTGCAAACGCAAATTGGCGTTAATATGTGATGACGTTGGAGTACAGCTTGGTATACACTTTGTATAATTCCTGGGAATGTAAAAATGACGTACGGATGCTGTGTGGTGTACTCTTTGTATAATTCATGGAAATGTAAAAATGACGTACGGATGCCGTGTGGTGTACACTTTGTATAATTCCTGGAAATGTAAAAATGACGTGCAGATGCTGTGTGGTGTACACTTTGTATAATTCCTGGGAATGTAAAAATGACGAACGGATGCTGTGTGGTGTACTCTTTGTATAATTCATGGAAATGTAAAAATGACGTACGGATGCTGTGTGGTGTACACTTTGTATTATTCCTGGAAATGTAAAAATGACGTGCAGATGCTGTGTGGTGTACACTTTGTATAATTCCTGGGAATGTAAAATAACTTATAAGTATAATACTATTGTTTATTATGATTTATCTTATATGACAGGATTCTGTTTGGTTCCGTCGTCATTTTTTTTTAATTTTTTTTGTCTCTTGTGTTTACGCTGTGAGATGTAGTTTTCTATCTAAAAACAATGCATACTTACATAATTATACATGTACATCAATGTGAGTAATACTCTCCATTACCCCAATTCAGCCTAGACCTTCCCACTTCTTGATATGGAATTCGACGGGAATTCACCTATGCGAACAGACCAGTATCTTCAATTATATTTAAAATACCACGTTGAGTTTGGTCGATCGTGTGAGTGTATGAAGTGCATATACTCAAGCTAAGCTGTCTAAAATAGCTTGTATCAGTTAACAGTTAAAGCATTTAAATGCTGTTATTATGAAATGCCAGACATATACAAGTTGTGTTTTGTCAAAACTCGCTTTAAACATGAATATACCCAAAACCGGTACGTGTTTGTAAGACTAGTTTAATGTAGTGGGTGTAATTATGTGTCAAAAAAGTGTCAGAATAAAGGAGGAAAATCAACACATAAAGTGGGTATGAAACATAACACTAGGAAAATTAAATTGAATAAAAATCTTCAGTAGAAGTTTGGAATTTAAGCCATTATTTTTCTACTCATAAAAGCATTAGTTGGCAATTATTTGAGTAGGCGTCACTTTTCAAAGCCTCAGAAAACGAATAATACAGCTACATAAAAGTTTAGGCGGCTTCTCAACATCAAACTATACAGACTTTCATCCGACAAGGACTCAGATTGTTCTATAGAAGTTCTGATATCTGTACTGTTCGTTTGATGATTACGGAGGCATCAATGCATCTATTTACGATATTATAGATAGATGTGACAGAATGTTAGTTACATGTTTTTAAAGTGTAAGGCAGTACGAATGTACATGTATATACTGTATAGTATTAGCACATGTCCCTTTGACTGCCTTTAGTATTAAAGTGCTATTAGGAAAAATGTCTTTTTGTTTTCTGATACGGCATACTGCGGCTTACTGAGTTGATTTCAGCGGTTTAGATTAAAGTCACCAGTCATTTACACTTTTTGCCTGATAAAGAAAACAAACGTTTTCGAAAGCTTACAAAATAAGTTGTCATTTTCTGAATGTTTTCACAACTAACTTAGCCTGTATTTATTATTATCTTGTTACTTTTTCTGGCAATAGAACTTATTTATTGTGTCACCAGTCATTACACTGTTTGTGTCAAACCATTGTTTACTACAGTTGTTTTGTTCAATATCTAATAATGTTATGTACTATTCTAGGCACTATGATATTTGTTTCATAGCTTACTTCACCTCTCGCTTCAATATCGTTGTTGAAACAAAGAGTTTCAGTAACAACCAGGAAGTTTATCTTATAGAAAAACTTAATTCAATAGTTCAATAGACAACGATATACATTCATTGAGAAGTTGATCTTAAGTTTAATTTATGAAAATAATTTTAAAAGAAAGCTTTGTAGAGAACAAAATCCTATTATTAATTTACATGTAAATCATTTTGTTTACTAATTACCTCACAGTATGAAATAATGCACTGTTTTATAACACAGCTAAATATACACAATAACACTGGTCAGCAATACTGATAACGAAACTGTCTTTGTAGAACATGAAAAACAGTTATCATTTTAGAATATGCATGTATCAAGCAACAGAAACTATTTAACAAAAATGGCGAGTTACCTTGGCTTTAAAGTAGATGACATTTCCTTCCTTCTTGAACACCGTCCAGAGGGTCGCTATTGTAGAGTCACTGTTTAGGACATCGTGTGCGTCATAACAAACAAGTTGGTGTTCTCTGTTAGATAAGTAACACTGTATTTATAATAACTAATGGGTCCGATATGAATTCAAATCAAATATACATAAAACGTGGTTTTTTCCCAGCTCAGGCTATGTGTGTAAGTATACTGGCTTTACGGATACAATGTTGTGTAATATTGTATAAGATACATACGAACGTGAATAACTTACTGGGGTGCTGATCTGTAAACAATTTCTGTCTGCGTATAATGACAAACAAATACCTTATTAAATGTAAACTTTGTATGATTCCTGAAAATGTTAAATAACCTTAGGGTACAGTATTGTGTATACTTTGAACGGTTCTTGCGAGTGCTAAACGGCGTTCGAGTACAATGTGGTGTACACTTTGTATGATACTTGTAAATGAAAAATGATATACGAATACAGTGTAGCGTACCCATTGTATATTGTTTGTGAATGTAAAATGACTTAAGGGTACAGTAGGTGTAACACGTTCTATAATTCTTGCAAATGAAAAATCGCTTAAGGATACAATGTGAGTTACTCTTTGTATGGTTCCTGTAAACATAAAATGACGTAAGGGTACAGTATTGTGTGTTTATTGTAGGATTCCTGTAAATGGATGTTGACGTTCAAGTAAAGTACAGCCTGGTTTGCACTTTTTTATGATTTATGTAAATATGAAATGACGTACGGGTAAAGTGGTGAACACTGGTTGATGATACAACAGTTTATATTATAATTGATTGGCATAGTGTTACCTATACTTGCGCACTTGATACCCATGTATGTACAACTATTACCAAAGATAATTAGTTGTAAACCACTTGGAGACGACAAAAGTTAAGATAAAGCGGTATATAAAAACTTCGAATTAATATTATTGTGTATCATGATTTTTCTTATGTCCGGAATCAGTTGGGTTCCGTCGTCATTTTGATTTCCGTTTTTTCTTTCTTTATTTCTTTTGTTTGTGCATGCTTCCATATACATGTACATCAATGTGGACAATACACTTGAATACCCCAATTCAGCCTATACCTTCTTTCCTTGTGATATGGATTTTAACGGGGATTCCCCTATACAAACATATCGCTAGCTTCAATCATAAACAAAATACCACGTTGAGTTTGGTCGATCGTCGGTGTGTAAAAAGTATATGTAGTCAAGCTAACCTATCTAAAAACACGTGTCTCAATTTACAGTGAAAGCATGTAAATGTTGTTACAGCTGTATTATGAAAAAACACACATATATAAGTTTTTTCGTCAAGATTTGCTTTAATCAGGAATATACACAAACTCGGTTCGTGTTTGTAAGACTAGTTTAATGTAGTGGATGTAATTATATGTCAAAACGTTGTTTAGATGACAACAGCTTTGTTTATAGTTGGTTTCAAAACTTTTTTTTCAATGTTAAGGGTTTGGTATGTCCCGGCCTGAGCGATTGCCTTCCCAATTCGAGCCAACGTTAAACACAAATATTAAATAAGAAGCTTAGGCAGTCTAGAAACTAGGAACAAAATGCTTGTTAGGTAATAGGACAAATAAAAAGGTCCCACATGTTGCGATGGGGATGGCAAATCAATCGGGGTTTTTTCATTGCCTCCTTAGCAGTGGACACAGACGAAAGCCGTCGATTCTGTGGGGGTTTCACCTTTATACTTTTTTTTCTCTTTTGGGTTTCTCAAACAAAATTGTGTTACATAACAACAGCTTTGTTAATAGGTCGTTTCAAAAAAATCTTTTCAATGTTGAGTAGCATACATGTAAATAGTTAATATACCCATGTTTTCGTATGATAATCTTTAAAACATGTATCATACAGATAATACTAAAACAATAATTGCACAAGTTTAGTTTTTAAGTTTAAAAAATATCGGATTACTTTTATTTGAGAAATAGTCAAAGCTGGTAACTAACTGATAGCATATTTCCTGTCGATAGTCACCTGAATAGACATATCGTTTTGAACAATCACCTGTATCACAGGTACAGTCGACATAGTAGTTCAGCTCTGTTGATTTCATTATATGTGCTGCCTTTTAAGTCTTAAATACACTTTGCATTCATGTATACCCATATGCAGAGTTTTTGGCTTTGGGTCATACTGTTTAAGAAACGTGTGTATGAATATTTGTGAAAGGAAAATACGTCTTTCATTAGTATCTACCCTGAATATCTTCAATTCGCATGAAGAACACAGGGATAATACAGGCCTCGATTTTGATATATATTTTAGAAATTCATACTCGATATAACATTTTTGTTGGTTAAAACCATGATCGACATTAATGGAATATACATAATATCAGGATAATTAAACTATTCACCATTTTGTCTCCAGGACAATGATGGAATGATATCCCTAAGTATCTTAACTCAACTTTACCACTTCATCTATGACCAAGTCATACCTTTAAACGCATGATCCAGTCAGACAGTCAGCACATGCACATTAGATGGGTGGTCGGCTGGCGCAATGGACAGTGTACTCACCTCTCACTAATATAGGGTTCCATACCGTGATCAAATGTGGAAATTTATTGGGTCACTTGCCTGACCACTTGAGATATTTTTCTGTATACTCCGGATTCCTGTCATATCTACGGCCCCTCGTCGTTAATGATGATTAACAGAATTACTAATCAAGTTGATAGATCTTGCTACATAATTGTAATAAATTAAATAACAGTTAGTTTTAAGCCTGATCAGTTCGTATGATTAGAATAAAGAGAATCATGCAAGAGATTCATCATATTATAACTCTATTTTTTACCATTTTGACAATTCATTCCTTTAAGTCTCCCAATCCATTAGTTAGATAAGGAAGTGTGGTTAAAAGCGGAATAAATTATAACCTGTCTGAACCGGATGTCACCGGGACCAAACTATATGTCCGGTTTACACAGGTGTCCGGTTTACACAGGTGTCCGGTTTACACAGGTGTCCGGTTTATACAGGGTCGGCATGTCATTTTTTGAAAATACAAAAATGTAGTGTTGTGCATACGATCTATATACAAATGTGTCAACATAAACAACAGAGAAACGAATAAATTGCAACGTCTAATTATTTACAAAATATACAGTTTATAATACACATGAAGGGCGACCCAACATTGGATAGCCTTCAATTGTTAAGAATGTGTATGCATTAGATTGTAGCCGGCTGAGTGAAATATCAGGACCGGGATGAGCAGGTTGTTTTTACATGGATTACGATGCAAACTTTTGTGGAACAACGCCGGTTTTCGGAATGGACAGGGTTCGGTTTATACAGTGTTGAAATGCTATGATTATATTAGAAATATGCCGGGACCACATCTCACAACAGGTTAAGAGGGGCATCCGGATCAGACAGGGGCCGTTTTAGACAGGTAATACTGTATTGGTATGCTTTGAAAATATAACTTGGTTGGCATAGAAATATTTTATATACATGTGACATTTACCGACCATCTTTTTAACCATAGTTACTTGTCACACAAAAAAAGATAATTCGAAAACAAAGTAATATTTCAACAGATATGATATTCTTAACATAATCATGAGGGTTTACTTTTTATTAAAGAGAAATCCCTGCCAGACGACATTGAGCAACGTTAGGAAAATCAATTTTTCATTTCAGTAAATGTTATTGAAAAATCAAAAGGATTGGACAACAAGCTATGCCTATATAAGTCCTCTATAAGTTATTATTTGAATACAATTTTATTTTCAAGAAAAATAACCTGTGTTCTCCTTTGCCCACTTTGCGAGCATGCAAAGGCATCAGACTGAACAAAAACTACTTTATGTAAGACTACAATATCGAAAACAACACTACCTCCGCTATTGTACTGAAGTCATAATGTAGCTGGTCATGGTAAGACCGACAGATCATAAGAATCTTAAAACAGTTTACTTTACTTTTAAGTATTAATGTATGCATCAGTATGCACACCACCTTTTACAATAGATTCCGAAAAAGAGCTTAAAAATTCGAAATTAAATTTAAAAATCAAAAACCAGATAGATTGAATCATCATCCCATCTCTAATCCGGAGTAGATAACTTTCCTTCGAAAGAACCAGATTCTACAAAACACATCAATATCAATGTCGTTTTTCCGAAATGGTATTATTACATGTAGCAGTGCTAATAGTAAATGTATTTATGTCTCCTAATCATGATAGTCAATAGTTGTTTCGTACAAACCATACTCAAAAATCATTTTCGTAATTGAACATTTTTTTGGCTGAATCTGAAACCCCACGAATTACCTTTATTGAAACAATAATCAAGCAGATACGTTTCTGTTGTGCGATTACATCGGAACAGTCACCTGAAGAACCTTTTATTCTACACGATCACACTTTTTGTATTACGACCACTGTCTGTATTGTTATTTCGTTTAGCTCTGTTGAACATGTCAAATGTGTCGTCTTTCAAATAGTGTCAGCATTTAAGTTATATCGTGTATTACGTAGTAGGCTACAGTTTAGATCATGCCTATAGAAAGTAGCTTTTTTAGGACGGAACATCGGAATGTGACCTCTGACTAGACGTTACAGGTACACACACATGTACGTATGAAAGTGTGAAATCATTTTAATAATGTAGGAGTTAATTCCCCTGAATTATGTTAATTGATATTTATTTCTCAAATGCACAATGCTATTTGGCCGCCTGCTTTTTTAGGTTAATCTCAGATATTCCATCTTTCGGGTGACTTAAGAATGAAAAAATATTGCCCGTTTAAAAAGGGGGATAATATTGAAGGATTTGGACAAACAGCCACAGAAAAATATATTTAAGATGTACCCCAACAAGCTAGTCATTTCCTAGATGCAACCTTTGGCAATGTTAAATCATCAAATTGGCAAGATACCATTAAAAATGTGAAACCTACAATCGATACAATTATTTATATGTAAAATGGTATTTACATCGCATTGAATATATACTTTTATATAATGTAGTAACGGCAGTCTATGACATCCGATTGAAATCTAAATAAGTAGACAAAGTAGACTTATAGGTAATTTTAT